CAGCACGCCCCAGTGGGGACAGGACCCACACAACAGGCCTAGGAATCAAACCCCCAGCCCTTGCACCTGCTTGCAAGCGCTTTAATCCACTGAGCTATTTGGCCGGCCCTAGGGAGATTGCATTTGGACAGGGTGGCAGGACACTGTGGAGAGGGTACCATGGTTCCTCAATTATTGTGGAGGGTATGTTCCAGACACTCTTGAATAAGTGAAAATTAGCGAAGTAGCAATGTTGTATTTATTTTAGTATTTATACGTATTTTCAAGGCTTTATAAACCCCACACTCTTACAAACCTTTCCCACACTTTTAAAAAGACTTCTGTTGTTCTTTTTCATGTATTTGGTACAGGGTCTCACTACACAGCTCAGACTAATAGTGATGCTCCTGTTTTCAGCCTCTCCAGCACTGGGATTGCAAGCATGAACCACCATTTGTTGTTCTTAACCATTGGTTCTTAACCATTTTCTGAACTTGTAAAGCTACCTAATTTTAACAACATATGTATACTGTATGGTACTGCAAAATCGTGCAGTATAGTGAAAACTCTGTTGTAAATAATTCAGATTAATATTCTTTGAAAATCCACAAAACAGTGAGTCCACGAAAATCAAACCATGAAATAGCGAGGGACTGTGCAAATTCCTAGGCAGTGCCACAGGGCGGCCAGCACTGTGGAGGATATACAGCAGGCAAGGACCCAACTTTATGCGGGGTGAGGGATGTGCTGCCTAGGACAGAGCTGTGAGCTGAGACTGGAGTGATGGGGCCATCTAATGAGCACTCCCGGGAGAGCCTCCCAGGCGAGCTTCCCAGGCCCTGGGGCAGCAGAGGGTGGGATGCACTCAAGGGACAAAGAAACCAGCACGTGTAAGGAGGCACCAGAGCGAGGCAGGTGGGGTGTGGCGAGACCCTGATGCCCCTGCCCTAGCAGCCAGGGAGGTGTCCGGGGATTGCTGCGGGGCAATGCCAGTCTCTGGGTGATTTATTTATTTTTGGTACCAGGGATTCAACTCAGGACCCTGCGCTTGCCAGGCAGGCGCTTATTTTACTGAGCTATCTCCCAAGATCACAGCAGCTGCTGGTGCGTGAGGAGCCGAAGGGGAAGGGAGGAGAGGAGGAGGGCCAGCTAGGTCATGGCGACCTCCTGGCTGGTAAAGGTAGCAGTGGTGTGGAGGGAGGACAGGGAAGGCCCGGCTGGGCGTGCTAGGGAACTGCACATGCGGGGTGAAGGGAAGGGAGGACTGGGGGTGGCAGCTAGGTTTGTCTCTGAGGTCACAGCAAACAAGGATGTGGCCCTGGGACACCAGTGGTCCCTTTATGTGGGATTAAGGAGAGATGAGGAAGCCCTGACAAGCCAAATAAAAACCTGCCAGCCGACAGCTCAGTGGGTGTATTCTGGACTGTGGAGAAGGCAGATGTCTGGAAGGTCCCCTGCGGGGAAGTGGACGAGGAATTTCGTGGGAGGCAGGAACTCTGCAGACGGCAGTTCTCGATTGGCGGGGCCGTCGAAGATAACTTCGCAGGGATTCGTGGCTCAGACAGTTTCTCCACACAGAACCTGCTGAAAAGACCTGAAATGGAATGAGAGACGGCATAGTAGGACCGTAAGGTCGGCTGTAACAAGCAGCCAGGAATCCCAGGGCACCGTGCCAGCCCCGCGCATTCCCCACGCACGCGCAAATCCGCCGACGGGACAGGGCAGCCCCGCCCCAGTCATTCGTCCAGGACCCCAGCGTGTCTGACCTGGCACTGCCGCCCTCAGCACTGAGCTCTGAGTCATCAGAGATGACAACAAGGAGGGGGTGACAGCGCGTGGGAGGGCGACGAGTCAGCTTGGAGCGGCACAGTGGCTTCCTTCTTCCGTGGCAAGCCATGGCGTGAATTCAGCTGCAGGGAACTTGGGAAGTGTAGCGCCTCAGTCCTGAGCCCAGCAGGTGACATGCGCGGTGCCCCTGCGCGGGAGGCTGGTTATCTGTCTGTCCAGCCGGCTGGGATGGGCGCAGTGTCCTCGGAGAGTACCACGGAGAGGAAGCTGGGGCTGGCCACGGCTCGGGCTCCTCCTCGCCTCAGCTCTTTCCCTTTGGGGCCTTTCTCCGGATAAGATTTTTTTTTTTCCCCCAGATAGGATCTTAATTGTCCCACACCTTCCCACTAAAAGTAGCCCAGGGCTTCTGACTCCTTTAGGGTTGTCTTTTCACCGAAGCTAACTTGGAGGGGCCAGGGATGTAGCTCAGTGGCACGCGCCTGCCTGGCAAAATAAGGTCCAGAGTTGGATTCCCAGTACAAAAAAATAAAAAGCTACCCTGGGTGTCACAGTCTAACTAACTTCCCTAAGAAAGTTTATCTCGTGCTGTCATGCTCATTAACATAAGGACAAACAATCTCAACAACAGCATTAATAATCTGTTGAGGTACTATGTCAGGTGCTCTAACTGCAGTGTCTGGCCTAACATATCTTCGCAAGGTGAGAGGTCACCACGCTGGGCCACAGTGGTGCTGAGATCTCAGGGAGCGCCAGCACGTTAGCTGCTCAGCTGTGCGCAGCTATCAAGATGAACTGAAATGAAATACAATTAAAGGGCAGCTGCACTGTCACACCAGCCACCAACTGTATACTCCAAGGTCACAGGTGACAGCGGCCACCACTGTGCAGGGCATGGATGCAGCTTGTTCCCTTCATGGCAGGCTTCACCCGGCAACTCTGAGTAGAGGCATGCCGAAGGCTGCCCAGCAAGTGGAAAAGCTGGGCCCTTGGCCCCAGTTTAGTGTCACACTCTTTGATAGCTCTTTATTCATTCTACAATTTAAAAAATGTTTAAATTTTTAAAAAATCTTTACTTATTTGGTGTAGGGTCTGACTACACAGCTCAGGTTCATAGTGATCCTCCTGTCTCAGCCTCCCCAGCACTGGGATTACAGGTGTTCACCACCACGCCCAGTTTTGGTGGCCCACATGGGGCAGGGCTGGTATGGCATGTGGTACCGGGGATTGAACCCCAGTCCCTGCATTTGCCTAAACAGGTGCTTAGTGTGAGGAGCTATCTCACGGGTCTTCTTCTTCTTCTTCTTCTTCTTCTTCTTCTTCTTCTTCTTCTTCTTCTTCTTCTTC